ACTACTACTACTACTACTACTACTACTACTACTACTACTACTACTACGACCACTACGACTACCACCACCACCACCACGACTACTACTACTACTACCACTACCACTACCACTACCACTACTACTACTACTACTACTACTACTACTACTACTACTACTGTACTACGGCTACTACTACGACTACTACTACTACCACTACCACTACCACTACCACTACCACTACTACCACTACTACTACTACTACTACTACTACTACTACTATATACTATTACAAATCACTACTACTACTACTAATTATTACTACTACTACTACTACGACCACTACTACTACTACTACTACTAGTACTACTACTACTACTACTACTACTAGTACTACTACTACTACTACTTTTACTACTACTACTACTACTACACTACCACTACTACTACTACTACTACTACTACTACTACTACTAACACTACTACCTCTAAGACCAGATTAGACTATTTCCTAACTAATAGTTAGAACAGCTTTTCTAGATTATTTTCTAACTATTAGTCTATTTTAAATAGACTTGAATTTAGACTGAGAAATAGTCTTGATTTAGACTGAGAAATAGTCTATTTTGAAACATAACCTTGAGGTTATTCTATAGAATAACATCAGGAAATACAAACTATATACCTAAACTTGTGGTGTTATATTGTGAAAAACAAACGTGCATGTTACTTATCATAGGCCATGTACTGTTACTGAGGCCATGTGCATGTTCTGAGTTGTGTTGGTGAATTGCATTTGCATCGGACAACCTCTTGTATTTTCTTGTCTTAGACAAGTCCCTCTTTGCTGCTACTGTTGCATCGCCTTTACCACTTTCACCAGCATCATCTGATTCTGGCTCATCACCTTTGTGGTCTTCCTTCAGCTTCCACTTCTGCACTTTGTCTGAAAAGCTGTCCTTTTCATGCTTTTTTGGAACTGCTTTGGGCTTACTCTTGGCTTTTGCCTTCTGTTCCTTCTCCTTCTTCTTCTCTATGGTTGGCTTCGCCTTTGGCTGTGGTGCTTTTGCCTTGCTTTTTGCATGAGGCTTGACTGATACTGCTGGCCTTTTCATGGGTGTCGTAGGTGCCAAAGCCTGCCGTGCACTTTTGGCAGGGGTAGCTGCTTCTTCTGTAGCTGCTTCCCTCTTGTTTGGTGAAGCCGTGGCTGGTCACCAAGTGCTACTTAGACCCCCACTGAATGCTACCTAGATTCACTTTTATGTTTGAGTTGTTCTATGTCACGTTTTGTCTTTCGTTGCGTCGGTTTGTTTTGTGTCCTTTACTTTGCGCTGCTTATTTTTTACATATTTTTACTGTCATATGCACAAGAACACTTTGTTGCAACAAAGCAACTCTGGAGCCACAAAAGACAACACAACAAACATAATACAAGTTGCCAAATGCTTCAAGATAGATAACCACAGTGGACTCATACTACTGTGCATGTAGTTGCCTAGTTTTTCATTTAGCCATTTCAAATTCAACTAACCTACACGAACTTAACGAACAAAATCACAAAAGACGTAAGCAAAACATGAAACATATTATAACACTGACATAAAAGTACTGAACACTGACACAAAAGTGTCACAAAAGACACACAAAAGTGACACAAAAGCGACGCAAAAGTGACACAAAACTGACACAAAACTGACACAAAAGCGACACAAAAGCGACACAAAAGTGCCACAAAAGTAAGACAAAAGTGACACAAAAGCGACAAAAGAGACACAAAAGTGACACAAAAGCGGCGCAAAAGCGACAAAAGTGACGCACACACACAAAAGCGACACAAAAGCGACACAAAAGAGACACAAAAGTGACACCAAAGCGGCACAAAAGCGACAAAAGTGACGCACACACACAAAATGTGACACAAGTTGCAGTTTCAAAAAAAGTGGCACTATTAGTGTCACTTTTGTGTCACTTTGGTGTCATAGTGGAATTTGACTTTTTAAAATGCAATATTTCCATATATTTATTGAGATATTGTTTGGGCTTGTATACGTAATATTGACCTATTTGGTGAAGTCAAATGCAAGGAGTACTGTCATCAGCTGTGGAGCGAGTACTGTCGAAGGAGTACTGTCATCAGCTCCGTCCAACTGCAGGTGTTCCAAAATGGTGTCAACCTTCTCTTTGGAATCGAAGGTGGCCTTCCTCATTGCTGTTGCGTAAGCTTCATGGTTCTTCTTGATGCCTCTGGCTTGTGCAAGCAAAATGATCTACCTGGTCCACAAAGTCAGCTGTATGGAAGTGTGTTTTGTTGACCATTTTTGAACAGTCTTGGATCATCCTCTGTAGTGCTAGCTTAACTTTGGCTGACCTATAGTAGCCCATTTGGTGCAATCTTCAAGAAATACACCAACATTTCATGACATTGAGCCATCCATTGAGGACAAGAACTTGTCTTCCAACTCCACTGAGCATTGGTAGGATGCTTCAAACAAGAAAACAGATCTTTGTCAGCTCCTCTGTTCATTTCCTTTGGCAGCACTCTTTGCAGGTCCATCACACCACTGGAAGGGTCCACCTTCATTCCCTTAGAGACGGCCACGTGTGCTACAGGTGCTCAAAGCAAAGAAAGGAGATGTGTGCGATGCTAGTTAGGACAAACATAGACAAAACTTGTTTCTTCACGAAACTACAACATCTACCCTTTTGTCGGTCTTGCTGATCCTCTGGAAGCTTGTGAGCCTTCCACAACACTTGACACCAAAAATGCTTTGCGATGTGAGTTTGAAAGAAAATTTGCATGTTACTTAGGCCATGTACGGTTACCTAGGCCATGTTACTTAGGCTCTGCTCAATGTTACTTGGGCCACACACATTGCTCAAGTTTGTGTTTTTCAAAAGTGTGACCACAAACACCTAAAATGAACTAACAACATGTCTTTACAAGATCTCAGGTTTTTCCAACATAATCTTGACATTCCAAGGTTGTTTAGCAAAATAGACTTGAGTCTATTCAACAAAATAGACTTTAAATTATCCCCTAGTTTATACTATTTGTTTATTTGAATTCTAACTATTAGTTAGAATTATTGAAATAGACTAATAGTTAGAAAATAGTCTAATCTGGTCTTAGAGGTAATTACTACTAATTACGACTAACTATACTACTTTACTACTACTACTACTACTACCACTACTACTACTACTACTACTACTACTATCACGACGACGACGACGACTACTACTCGCGCTAGTACTAGTACTACTACTTTTGCCACCTTCACGCCACACAAGTATCCAGCAAAGGCAAGGGGAAACCGTGCGAAAGAAACATTGCGCACACCTGGAACAAGTGACGGAAAACAAGGTCAACGACATCGTGGCGCAACTGTAAACACTTGCCAATCGCTACACGCACGCATGAAAAACACGACTTTCAACAAGGATACGACTTAAACTAACCGCGCCAAATTGTCCCAGACCGAAGACCCTCCTAAGCTTGACAACGATTTGGACGTCAGGTCAAGACGTTGTCGAGATTACTATGGACACCAAGACAAGACAACATTAAAATTCAAAAAGTCGACTCGAGCCAAAGAATCACCTAACAGTGAGTAGCTTTTAACAGGGCAAAACACAACTTAAACGCAACACTTACATTAGAATTCATTTACCATGCTTGGGTTGGACCAATCCAGTTCCCTGAAGATCTTTCAGAAGGCATGCTTCTTGGTGAAAAGTGCTCCTCCTGGGATTCTCACAAATGCTGAGCAAAAGGTTTGACTTTAGCAGCTCCCTGCAGGGGCTAGTTCGATGTAACCTGTTTGCTTGACAAGGTGTGGTCCCTCACACGGAGCAAATGATTTCATAGAGTAGGGTTCAGTAGGATCAAAAAAATGCCTCCCCGATAAGGAAGCGGTGCAGAAGCAACCCTCTGGCATGTAAAGCTATCGCAAAACCTGCCCGGCTACATGTAATTCTCCACGGGTGCCTATCTCAGACCCACCGTTTGTGGATGTTTTGAAAAATACGCTTCGCAGGACATGAGTACTCCAACAAGTCGCTGGTCGCTGTCATGGACCGGCCCATGCCCGCTTATCGTCCGCCACAGGGCTACGTTTCATGTTCCCTGCAAAAACAATGCCCGCACAGTGTGACCCCATTAAATCAAGGTTTGTTTGAAGCGCACACTTGCATACACAACATTTGACCTGGGCGCGGCCAGCAAACGAAATGGGCTTGGGACGCAATAGAACAGTCTGCTTGGCAGTGACCTTCATCTAATCTGTCGTTCGTCCGCAGCGTGCCTCGGTGGATGCCTCGGAAGAGTTGCAAACCACAGGGCCACAGAGAAAAATCAGCAATATTGCACCTACAATCATTTCTATAATATACCATTCCTTTTTCATAAACCAAGGTGTTTTCGCTTTTGCTTTTTGCAAAAAACAGCGTGGGTCCTGACTCCCCGTTGTAAAGCTCGTCAGACATCTGGAGATCAATGCAAGCTTTTGACTTCACGACAAAATCTGTTTGTCTGATTAAATGATGGCTATGGTTTAATACGTAAATGACTGAAGGTCCCAAAGTTTGCAAGTCTGTCCAGGCTGAGGTTGCAGCTGCCGACGAAGTTGTAATAGTGCCCCATACTACTGCGCTGGAATCGCCGCCGTTGGCCGCAGAACCCCACGAAATGACACCTCCATCCGACTTGATTGCAGCAAAAGCAAAGAGTGTCGAATAGATCTCCACAACGCCCCATCCGAGTTCACTGCTCACTGAACTTGAGTCACCACCAAAGGCCGAGAGACCCCAAGTCACGACACTGCCGTCCGATTTTCTTGCAGCAAAGGCGTTCCTAGTCGAATGGATCTCCGCAACACCCGACGCCAGCTCGCTAGTCACAGAACTTGAGTCACCACCATAGGACGAATCACCCCAAGTCACAACACTGCCATCCGACTTGACTGCAGCAAAGGCGTACCAAGCCGAATAGATCGTCTCAACATCTGATGCCAGCTCAGCAGTCACAGAACTTGAGTCACCACCATGGGACGAATCACCCCATGTTACGACGCTGCCATCCGACTTGATTGCAGCAAAGGCAGAGGTGTCGGAATAGATCTCAACAACACCGGACGTCAGCTGGCTTGTCACGGAACTTGAGTCACCACCATGGGATGAATAACCCCAAGTCACGACACTGCCGTCCGACTTTTTGGCTGTGAAGGCGGCGTCAGTAGAACGGATCTCCACAACACCTGACGCCAGCTTGCTAGTCACGGAACTTGAGTCACCGCCATAGGATGCATAACCCCAAGTCACGACACTGCCGTCCGACTTGATTGCAGCGAAAGCAAAACTATTAGAGAAGATCTTCTCAACACCTGACGCCAGCTCGCTGGTCACAGAACTTGAGTCACCACCATAGGAGGACTCACCCCAAGTCACCACACTGCCGTCCGCCTTTTTGGCTGCGAAGACTTCGTTGCCAGAATAGATCTCCACAACACCGGACGCCAGCTCAGCAGTCACAGAACTTGAGTCACCACCATAGGACGAATGCCCCCAAGTCACAACACTGCCATCCGACCTGATTGCAGCAAAGGCAGTTCTAGTCGAATGGATCACCGCAACACCCGACGCCAGCTCGGCAGTCACAGAACTTGAGTCACCACCGTAGGACGAATGCCCCCCAAGTCACAACACTGCCATCCGACTTGACTGCAGCAAAGGCATACCAAGTTGAGTAAACCAACTCAACACCTGCTTCCAGCTGGCTAGTCACAGAACTTGAGTCACCACCATAGGACGAATCACCCCAAGTTACGACACTGCCGTCCGACATCTTTGCAGCGAAAGCACCATAGTTTGAATAAAGGGTGTTCACTTCGACTGTAGTCAAACGTCGGTGCATTGTCGAAACGCTCTGATCCTGCGCCATCACATGATTGCTGGTTGAGGGCACTGTCTCTGCTTCAATTGCACTCTTGGAAGTCAGTCGTCTGTCACTGCGTGGGCCTGCGCTTTTGGGCATCTTCGGATGGCTGAGATTTTTTGCGAGGGTCAGCAGCCCAACGGTCAGACTGACGAGCAAAAAGGCGGCGATGCCATGGCAACCACGGGCACACGCCATGGCAACCACTTGCGGGCGCTGAAAAAGAACAAGCCCTTCAGACGTAATTCTTGATTGAGTCTGCAACATAACATGACATAACGATAACTGCCTTGTTCCCTTTTCATCCTGCAGGCTATCAGTTTCCAACTGGGACACGGCAGCAGCTACCCATCGCAATGAAAATACACGCGCGCCAGGCTTCGAAACCAGAACAACACTCAGTCTTTGTTGGGTTTGACTGTAGCGCTCTCTATGAGCTTCACTCTGGCCAGCTGGGGGGGCCGCAAAAGGTTCTACCATATGATATTTGTATCTTTATATACTTATAAGTTATGTTGTGGTACTTATACTTATAAGTGGCGTAAGTCTACTTACGCTCGTTATGGACCTTACAAAATAAGTAGCATAAGTGCGACGGTGAATGGAACATTGTGGTTTTAAAGGTTTTGCTTTTTTTCTGTCTACACCTGTAAATTTCAACCAGATGGAGGGACATCTTCATGAGCAGGCGTTGGCAGCCCATCAGCTAGTGGTCCACCCTGACAACAGGAGTGGAGTGCTGGTGAACTCCTTATGACGTTCACTTGAACAGCCAAATGGCACTCAAAGTTGGCTGGTCAGCTGAGAAACTGACAGAGAGTTATTGCCTCGAGGTGAGCCCAAATGTGTTGGAGAAACAAAAGCAGCTGGCACCGACGCAGCTGCTGAGAGAAGCCTCAGAAGGAAGGTTAGCTGGACTCAGTGGGAAAGAGAAATCTCTGAGCGTCAGCAGCAGTCACATGAGCCAATTTTGCAAAGCAACTTTGTGGATGAGACTGGGAGGGTTCTGTCTTTGGCAGACACCAAAGACCCTGCTTTTCACAAAGCAGTGCAGGTTGGCTGGCCATGGAAAATCATTTCCAGCGCTGTGGAAACTACTTTGCCTTGGCTCCCACAATTCCTGCAGGCCAGCTTGAACAGCAGTAGCCACATTGCTGGCAGGATGACAGAGATGGAGCTGGCAATGGCCATTGGCATGAACTTCAAAAGAACCAACAACCTGGAGCAATCACTGCAAATGCGCAGAGCATACAGCGATTTGAGCTACTTGGATGCTGTGGGCCACTTTGTTGCACACTATGGTGGTGGTGCTGAACATGGCTTCCCCATTGTCAAGCTGTTGGCCACTATTGAAAAGAGCTTCAGCAGCTCCATGCTATTGGGTGAGGAGTTCTTCCTCAATGTGCCCAGAGCAGATTTTGGTAGGAAAGAAAGCTGCTTCCCATTAATCAGGGCTTGCCTAGTTGCAGCCAACATCAGCAGCCCCAAGCAGAAAGAGGGCGTTGCTAGGCTGTTGGTGCCGCGGTGCCCTCTGACATAGACAGGGTAAGGGCTGCCAGCAACAAGGACAAGTTGATGCCTGCTGAGATGCTGGCACAGATGAACTTGGAGACCTTGCAGAAGTCACCACAAGGCCTTTCCACGCCAGTCATGTGAAGCGCATGGGCCGCCTCATTATCAGGTGTGCTTTGCTGGCCAAGAAAGAAGGCAAAGGCAGGGAGAGCAAGCAATATGGCAGCCTCGACGAGAGCAGCAAGGCCTACATTGGTGAGCTCATTGCCATGGACAAAGATGCTGGTGAGAAGGCAGCCAAGACTGCTGGCGTGGACCTTGCCAGCTTGGATGTTCCTGAGCTTGCACCCTCTGCAAGCCATGCAGATGTTCCCAATGCTGGAGAAGATCCCATGAGGGTTTTGTCCTTGCACGAGATGGGGATGCCATGTTGTGTTTGAAGTGCTTCCTTACCTGCACTTGCACTGTTGCTATGTTGAGCAAATGGCATAAACAAATTGTTTCTCTGCTGTGCCAAGGAGGCAAGCAACCCAAAGGTCATTGCTGAACTCCAATACCCTTGGCTCAGAGTTGGCGCCTGTTACTTGAAGAAGGGTGAGAAGGCAACCCATGTCTTTGAAGAGACGGGCGCAACACATGGGAAGTTCGGTGTGGTGGACATTCATGGCAACAAAGAACACTGCTAGTCCCACACCAGTACTTGAACATATTCAGGGAGACTGACAAGAAACCAGCCACCGTGCTGGACGGTCAATGGTGGCTTCATTGCAAATGGAACAGTCAAAGGATTGGGAGTTGGGGTTGGAGAAGGCAGAAGTCCAAGCTGGAATCCTGAAGAACTACAAGGAGCAACTCCCCTGCACATAGAAAACAAAGCAACGTTGTGTAGGTCCAGAAATGTACATGCACAACATACCTCTCTTTGAACTGAGGAGAGGGGCGCTGGACATGAATGTCTTGGTGTACACCAGTGACCACAAGCTGCTGTGGCAAAAAGATTGCCAAGAACAGCCTCAAGATCTTCCCTTGGTACTGTTACCAGATGCAAGCCTGGTGACGGGCTCCGGGTTATTGGTTCCCGGATTGGTGTTTTCGGTTCCCGCGGTGTTTTTTCTTCCCGCGTTGGTGTTTTCGGTTCCCGCGGTTTTTTTGGTTCCCAAGTGGGTTTTTGGTTCCCGCGCGGCGGTGTTTTCGGTGCCCGGCTCGGTTTTTTTCAGTGCCCGCGGGTGTTTTCAGCTCCTGTGATGGTGTTTTCGGTTCCCGCCTTGCGTTGAAGAGGGAAAAAATGCGCGGATGTTTTCGGTTCCCGCGTCCGGTGTTTTCGGTTCCCGCGTTCCGCGCGTTTAGGTCTCCGGTGTTTCTGGTTTTCGCGTCCGGTGTTTTCGGTTCCCGTGTCGGGTGTGCTGTGATCCCGTGTGAAATGGTGGGAGTCTTGTGTTGTCGCGGGACAACGCGAAAGAATTTTTGTAAAGACACGAACAAACACGAACCACCAAAGGCCACAACCACCACCACCACCACGAACAACAGCAACAACAACGACGACGACGACGACGACGACGACGACGACGACGACGACGACGAC